ACGCTCGAAGCGCCGCGTCAATAAGAAGTGGCTGACTATGAACGCCGATGATGTTGGCACAACTATTTGACGGATCTATGTAGAAGGATAACACATTACTGTTGCCCAATTCGAAATCCTTTCTGGCTGATATGATAGACACCTCTCCACTTGGATGCTAACGGTCTAACGTGCCGGCCTGTTAATTTTAAGGACACGTGAGATAGCCATGGTTCAAAAGCAGGCCTAGCCAAAATTTCTGTCCATGCCGAGGCTCAGCTCTCTGTAGTAAGAGCAATACGCGGCGTAAACATAGGGTAATTAACACGTCGTGTATTAGCCGCGACGGCCACGAACGCAGCTAAACGATGTCCCAAGAGCCCCAGTCTATTGCGATTAGTTAACTTGAAATGTAATTACAAATTATTTGACGCATATATGTTAATAATGTTTGCATAAGTGTACCCGACAGGATAACTTGATATGTGGTATTCCAAAGTAGGGGACCAGATCTACGCTAACCTCAGGATTCATTTTGTGCAACACAGAATACACACTCGATGGGAATATCCTACATTACCCCATGATGTAGGAAAGTAAGCCTGTTTGCGTTATAGTTTCGTCCACAAGCCCGAAAGCATTTAGGTTCCACATAGAGGCGGCTAATGTCGACATCGTCGTAGATAATGAACTTCCTTGAAGCTCTATCACGATATACAACCCAACGGTCCTAAATAGAACATGCAACATAGTTCAGTTTCGATTGTTTTCCTTGAAGGGCTTAACACCGGCTTGCTCATAATGTATCGCTTTTTTTTTTTTAGCTACCTGCTAGCATTGTATTCAACAGATATTTGTTTAATGTAAAAATACGGATTTTCTACCATTGCATGTAATTATCTTAAATCTCAAGTCCGCAACAATCTTAATATCATATCTATATATGATTTTACAATCCCGTTTCGATCGACAAGTACGACATAGAGGGCTGGAACTGTAACGGAGTTGTCCACCGTTGTGTACTGTCGTTTAGATGCATCTTAAAGGAGACTGAATGACTAAGGTCCCTCGAAAACAAGTGATATAGTTCCGACCTACAGCTGAAAGGTACGTTTCTATATACCATTACCAACTTCCGTCTGGTACCCTATCAGAATATTAGTAGTGAGTGACAATCCGATCTGAAGCAATCTAACGAGAGAACTCTAGATACTTAGCTCAAAAACGATAAATGACGGAATAATTCGAGTTAATGATGACCTTCGAGGTCGTCCAACTGTTCGATCGAAAAGCTACATCAGTTACTTCTAGAGTGCCGCTGTTCCTCTACATAGTGATCGAAAAGCGTTATTTAATTCAGCCTTTTAATTATAAAACCAATCCGCGACGTGTACGTAACTGTGCGACTGAGGAGGCACGACTTTGTCTACGTACGCACATGTTGGAAGAAACCGGCGAAATTACACGATTCTATTCTGACACAGCATATGAATTGTTGTTCAAAAAAGGTACATCTTGCTAGTCGTCAGCAGAAATAAGTATTTCACCATTTAACAAAATGAAAAATTACTGCCACCAGCTCAAAGGCCACTAACGCCAATGACGTTAACGTTCGTCGAGATCAATTCGAAGGATCTAAACTCTGCGGTCTTATTCATAGCGACCTGACCCTTTCTTCCGAGTCAAAATTCATGGTCGGATATTCAGGCAAAGCAAAACTATTAACCCAGAAATACCTGAATTTTACGATTCTCACCTCTCGACCCTCAAGAATTGTCCCACCTATTCGTACGTCATAAAGAGTCTCAACGTCTAACTAATGTTGCTATTGTTGAGTGTAGACAGCAGTGGTCTGCTGTTAGTGGATTTATGGCTGGTTGCGTGTATGCTCGACAAGTTTTTCTATTAGATAATTCTAAATGGCGGCAAATCGAAAATGTTCTTTTAGTTGTCTGTAGTTAATTACGCTTTTCAGCGGCGAAACGAGTTAGCGTTTTTGTCAATGTCTCCCGATGCACATATTCTAACGAGTATGGCTACAGTGCGTTGTGTGCTTGTATGTTGCTGCTATACTTGTGCCCGTGGGTCTACATGGAAGCTCGAACCTCGCGGAACACGTCTGGATGGTGTTGTACCTCCTTGCTACTTCCGTTGCATGTTCATTTTTGGAGTTGCCCGAAGCCCAGCCCGAAGTCATTTTTTTTGCGTCTGTGCAAGACGACAGATTGTGCGACGCTTCTTCACTGTCCGTGACACCGCCAAATTGTTGGTAGCAAAATGATAAGTTCGAATATCGAAGTGATCTTTTAATATGAACCAGGCAGCGACTAGGCAAAACATAAGACGGCACAATATCGTGTTTTTGTGCTCCTTGTTATTCTATGCCACGCAATTTCTTGGTAATTATATACGTATACATATAAGGCAGGCACAACAAGGCCAAACGTATTTGGAGAACAGATAGCGTTTTCGATTAAGGGTACATTAGTTCGAAAAATCATCGGTAGGTGATCGAGTCTGATAAAAGTTGGTATTCCACCGAGGCAGTTGGTGAGTTATGGACGAATATGGACATTTCAAACAGTTTAAACGGACCCACAAACGTATTCGCCCACAATCTGAACGTTTAATTTTAAATGAAGTGAACCTATACTGTCTTTGTACAGGAGTACGCTTTGTGCTATTCCGATTCTGCGCAAGCACACACAAACGTGCCGCTTGTGATAAACCATTAATGTAGCCAGTTATTATAAATCTATTGGAAAAAATCCATCACAGCCAAGGCCAATAATAACCATTGCCAGTTTCCCTGAGCCTAATTCTATCTAAATGTTTGGGTCCCTCAATGTAAGCTTTCTAAATAGGCCGGTTCGCTGGTATTGACTCTTCCAGAAGTCTATCTGGAAACCAAAGCTCACGAACCCACTTAACCGCAACTGGTGAAAAATTTATCGGAACAAAACGACTCGATCGCAGATAAACTTATTTGCAAAACAAGTCGGAGCTTCATTTTTTATTCGGGTGTCACATAAAAATAGTAGGAGATTCGTTGTTATGTTTAGAGTACTATTGCAGAAAGGGCTAAGGCGGAACAAATGAAAATAGGGGCAGGTGTTTCGATTTTCTTAGTGGTTGATTCGTGAGCTTATAGGTAAATGAGATATTTGAAGAGCAATACAAATCCCTATAAAAATTTAGCTGAGCGATGCTAAAGCCAAACCGTATTATTTATGTTGTATTGTATTTTGTCGGGTCAAGGTTTTTCGATACCATTATTTTTTATACTTCGCTAGAATCGTAGAATCCGAATGTCCAGCTGAACGTAAACAATCAGATGTGTGTTCTAGTGTATATCCCTGGCACTAAGCCAATTCTTGTATCAGAAGCTTCACTGTGGATGATCACATATTTTTTGAGTCGTTCGTCTTTTCCGTTCCTATCTATCTAACCGTTGCCTATCTAGCGCTCTATTTGTGGTAATGGGTGGAAGATCTGTAAACTTCCTGGGCTGCGTAATAAAAAGAAGCTTCATTTAGCAAAGGTACCACAGGTCTCATTCTTATTGTAAAATCTATTCTTTGCCTATGTCTCTATGAGCACAGAGCAGCATGATATCACTGAGTGTTTTTCTGCGTATAAATAAGTAAATATGAAGTAGTATTTCTTATTTTCATTGGTCTCTGATTCGTCTCTGGTGGGGCTATATCGAGGATCCGCGCCGGTGTAAAGGTCTGTAACAGGGTAAACAAGCGATTCACCGGTCCTTCGTGCTTTTTGACAGTTCTTACTTAGTGAAAAGTAGTTTTCCCATAATTTTTCTCCTTCTGCACTGTTCCTTTATGGTTGAGAACAAACTCGTAATTTCGACTCTTGGAAATCTCAAGCAGACTGACGTATCCTAAGTTTAAAGACTGTCCCAAGAGCGGTTATCCTAGAATGCGCCAAAAGAAAAAGAATGAATCAAAAGAAAATCCCTTATAGAATGAGATTTTATAATCTAAAAATGGCACATAACTCGATCTAGCTGTTTTCCACTGTTTACAGTCATTATTTGATATTATCAGGCTCTCTCATTGACGTCTGCCTGAGACTCATTGCTTGCATGCTTTATTTATATAGAAGATATGAATTCGTGATACTGGCTTAGAAACATACAAGGCCAGTACTTTAATAATACAATTCATTACACGCTTTTCCTGCGTTAGTCCTATTTTATGTTTGGGAAATTCTATACGAGTTTAGCAGTTAAATACCGGAATTGTCCAAAGGCAGAGTCCTACTTCTCTATACTCTTGTATAGAAACAAATTGCGCAGATTTAGTGCATGCTACCTCGTTTATGACCGTACTCATTACAGCTACTGGCAATGGTAATCATAAAACGTTTTTCGTACGCATATCGCTAAAGTACGACACGAAATATGTATATATATATATATTCTCGCCAATACAACAGCTAAATCGGTACCGTCACTTGAGGCCCTTCCCTTTAACTGGATTACGTTACATTTAACAGTTGACACAGTATGTTTCTCTGCGGCCCGTCAATTACCAGAGTGTCGTGCGAACCCGAGCTTGCAGCCGATGGAGCATCCGGTTCGGAGGCGCGGTGTGTATGTTGGGGGTTTCGCTCCCTTTTACGCACGTGCATGCTTTGCCGCTTTCGGTTGCTTGGCGACTTGCTGTCCACGATCTACTCTTCAACGGACGGTGCCTGCTGAGTAACTGTCGCGTTTCCCGCTGCCTCGTTGTTTGCCATGGGTCTATGGCAGAGGTAGTGGAGAGGGATGTATCATTTTGGGCAAGGGTGGACCTCTTGCGCGGGCTAAGTCTCGCCTTGGCCGCTGAAGGAGGGTAGACCCGGAGGGTGAAGGCAGCCACTGTCGGCGCCGCTGTGTGGCTGGGGGATGCCGAGCCGCCCAGGAGCACCAGATAGCCCTTCTGTTAGTTGAGCTCCGATCACCGATCAGGAGAGATGTACGCCCGCTGGAAGCGCGCGAGTAAAACGAGAGAAAGCATTATTGTTCTCATCGATAATCACAGCAGACGAAGTGTCATTCTCTAGCTATTTGACTTACTGACCAAAGCGACTTCGCGCTACGAACAGCGGCAACGTTTCGAAGATTGGCATACTGACAGGCCTGCATACGATACGTTGGAAGCATGAAACAAATATCGTTTTTCTCTTCCCAACGTGATTGATACAGAATTTGCCACTACAAAGAGGATAATTCATTGCATTGTGTACAGTATCCAAGTGTGTATATGTATGTTTGATCTGGGCAGACATGAAAGTCATAAACAGCTACAGGGCCCATTTATACTTGTGATATATTCGCGTGCCTAATATTGGCAACACACCCGTAACGACAACAACAAGAATATAGGCTGCTGGCATTCGGAGTCGGCGCTGATTCTGTGCTGGCCTATTCGTTGGTCGTTGTTGCTGCTGGTGGGAACGTCCGCGTGAATTGCCACAGGGATGAACAGTGTAGTAACGTCATTGACAATGTCGTGGTGCAACCTTACGTTGTGCGCTAACCATTGCAATCATCAATCGAAATCGGTTGTAGTATAGCTTATTAGATTCATAGTGCATCTTCCTTCTGTCCATTCAATTATTGTTACGACGTAACTTGGTAAAATGTGCAGTGGATTAACTTCTCAGTCGGGTACCATCCGCCGTCGTCTAGTGTGCAACTACGAACCGACCTCCGTCAGCTGGAGTTTAGCCTGCCACTAACATCATACGCAACTGCAACTGTAGACGAGGCAGGTTTAGCTCAAATAGAACAAGCGTTTGACGTTCCTGCCACGATTCAATATTATCACTGCGATTACTTGGCCATGTCGCTCATGACATCATGCGTAATTGACAATACAAAATCGCTCTGTGCACGGAATCTATAACGCCTCTATGAAGATTAGGTAGAGACGACGTTAAAAGTTAGCAAAAAATTACTTCGCCGGCTCACCGGTTGCTATTTGCTAATCGAAGCTGTGTCTCTCTGTGATTGAAGCATTCGTTAGGATTCATTTATCTCCCAGGATACTCTCTTTTCGACCTGTGTTTTGTGCGCCATTCCTTCTGGTCGGGTGACCGAAAAGTACTCTTAGTGAATTTAGTGGTTATTCGTTCGGCCGTCGCATGATAATTCGACGCGGTGATTGACGCTTCTTCGTTTATGTTGTTGACTTCGTTTTGAACTTCGCAGTATCTCCGAATCTCCATCCTCCAGAGTTTGTGCTAAGTCGACGTCCTCAGCAAGCGCTGACAGCTGTACAGCCACAATTAATCTTTGTCTAACGATGAATTTTGACCCCGTCCTTGCTACAATGGCAGAGCATCGCCGTGATAAAGTTACCGGCTGATCTAAACACTGGCTAATCTAACCTTGTTTTCGTCGTACGTCGATTAAAGTGCATGAGCGCTGTGTTGTACAGGAAAATAGACCCAATTGAGCAACACGTACGAGACAAGGAATTTGCGGGGCCGTGCGTATGATCGTGTTATTTCTTGCAGCCCGTAACGGCGGCAATTGCAACGCTTCCTGCAGCACCAGCCTGAAGAAAGCACGTCTGCTTCAGCGGATCATAAGTAACGTACTTAGACAGCGATTGGCGCCCAAGTGAGTGCCCGCACGAACTGGCCACGACGCCGTGAAGTATATAGACGAAGGGCAAAGCAGAAGCTGAAGTGGTTCCACAATGCGGCTCCTAATGACGAAGCGAACGCCGAGGTCGCAAACCAGTCCAAGTGTTCAGACTTCAACAACAACCTGTTCGCTTTGGCTCATGCTATTGCTTTGTTCTGTAACGGCGTTAGCGGAAATCGGTGGAGGCAGAATACTTAGAAAAGGTGAGAGTAACATTTGTGTTTGAGATGCGGAATAGGTAAGGCCACCTTTCTGGTTACTGTTTAGCGAATAGGCTAAGCGTTCTCTATTCGCAGCCAGGAAATCTTACTAACCTCGGAGCGGAAATGATCGTCTGGCTGGATCGAATGCGCTGATCAGATTGCCGGGGATTTCAGGTTATCTTCGTTGGGACGCAAGGCGAATAGGATTTTAGGATAGGGAAGTTTACAGTAAAACAGCATACGGTATTTACCAGACATTGTCAGGCAAACAATAGTCCCACTATTTCGTGTACGTCCATAGGCATGCCCTTATCAAAGGAATCACATTCGATCAACGGATAAGCTTTAGGCGTTCGTTCTTGATGCAGCATCTTGAACTTCATAAGAGATAATTAGCATCTTGTCATAAATTCATTCAGGTTTGTTTGTTTACTTGATTCGGTAAATTAGTCGAAATGTTAAAATTTAATTCATATGAAGCAATCAAAAAACTGAAGTAAATGTTTTTTGCCCCCTATCATTAGACTAAAACTAGTTTTGACACTTCAAAATACGTCAGTCTTGCTGCATACTCAAAGCATTGAGTGAGGTACGAATTTATTCGTAAGAGAGTGCGCGACTGGGGTGCCCTACTGGATATTGCTTGCTCTTAAGGGATACTGTCATTGCGGTGATCTTGTCGTGTCGCTAGCGACGCGAGATGTCGTCGATCATTCCGCCAGACTGCACCCGCGGATTTGGGGGGCAATAAAGTTGCCCAAGGCATGGTCCATGAACTAATCTAATTAAATTGTCAAATTTCTAGGGGAAACTACTTCCCCAAAGGAATATAACGTGCTCGCCCCATCAGATACCAAACTGATACTAGATAAGCTCGATTCACGTGGTGTTTTATCATGTCAATGACAGTCATTACTATTATAACTCTTATTATTGTTAGTAGCGATATCGCTAACTAGGCGTTCGGAACAATGCTTGATCAGATATTATGTATATATATATATAACGATAAATTGCGTCAATCAATAGTGTTGTATTTGCACGAGTGATCAATCACCAATAGGATCCACCTTATGTATGCATCATTGTGTTGGTTCATTGATTGAATCACTCTGAATTTCTCTAAACGAGTTTACTTTGATTTTTCTAATTAGGCATACGCTTTTGCCTGTAGGCTAACGCGTCTGCTATTCGGCCCAAGATGATGCTTAGGCCAGTTCTCATAGAATTAGTATACAGAGATTCACGCATGCCTATACATTTGGTCGATTATTCCACTATTGACTACGGCATCAAACTGTTTATACAAGCGAAGGGCATTCGGTAGCAGAAAGATAATGTAGCTTCAACCTTGTCCGCATTTAGATTTCGTCATCTCGAAAACAAAGTTACCAAAATTTTACCGTTTACCTGTGGAGCACCGTTGTATACGATATTGTTAGTGTATGTGATATTCAGAACGGCACGTAGTCGAGCCTTAGCAATAAAAATGTTGGACATATAACATTCCATAGTCTCCTAACATGGCTCATCATTTATCATATCTTATACGTACAAAACATATGGTATTGTTTTAAGCAGAAAGGCGACGGTTTAGGTGGAGGCATCAATAGGAATCTATTTCGCCGTTTGTGTAATAGTTCCGCCTCTTCGCCTCGTGCCCCCTGATTGGTCTGCGTTCGATTGTGGTAATTTGTCGCACAATGTCAACTGCACGAAGTAAAGACTCCGGTCCGACCGGGTGGCTGGTTCTACCAGTAGACTATTCTAAGCAACACTAACTGCGAAATGGCGCTATCAAATCTAAAGTCTGTAGTTCCAAGTCAGATTTCCTTTCAGGTGAAAAGGCTTGGTTCAGGTTGGTCTGTGAGGACATCGCAAGGTCAGCTCGTGCTAATAAACGTAATGAGTTTGCTTAGCGAAACGAGTGTAGCGGATTTGACTAGGAATATAATCAACCTTTTCTAACTCAAACTGGCTCGTGTTCGATGCTTGTGTGAGCTGCGGATGACAGAACGCGGGCATCTATGTATAGCTGAAAAAACAGTGCAGTAATACATACACAATTGCTAATAAAGATGTTTATTTTGTGGTTTTCTGAGGTTACGAACATACGAATCGTAAACGCGCCGACCCATATGGCCGATAGCGCGAGCTGTTTGCTTACCTGTAATGATGTTCATCCTAGAATGGTCATATCTATTGCTTTAGTATATAATCCAAATATTTTATGCGCTGAATGAAGATGTGTGAAGAGCTGTCTTGAGAAACACCAGCGTTCATAATACACGTCTAATGATGCAGCAAGCAGCCCAGTAGAATGCAAAGAAGTACCCGAAGAAATTTGTTCTTAAATATCTCTTAGGTCTATTACTTTTTTTTTAATTGAATAAGGATATGAATATAATTGAGTCGGCCATCTTAGGTCCGTTTGATGGCGACCTGTTTCACAAGGCAAGTTTTACGGAATGAAAATCTTACCACCTCACGCGCTCCTGAAGTATGCATTAGCTGCGCCTTGATTAGTCGCTGATTTTCAAACGAGCCCCAACGCAAAAAAAGGTACGGTACACGAAAACGAGAAGATATTGCTTTCTTTTTATAAAAAGAAGGCAAGTTCCGCGGCGGTCTGACGGCCACCTGTTCAGACACCGAAACCAATGGGGTTCGAGGCCCAGCAAGAGCTTCGGGCTTAGAGCTTTACAACACTGACGGCATGTCCTTCCTTTTGCCGTCGTTGGCCGTTTTATTTCTCCAAAAGGGTCGCTTTTTTCGACATTGTCTGTTAAAGCAACTTTGTTCCGTTGCCCACGTGTGGCAAGGAGAACGCTAAAAGGAGGTCAAGACGCCTTGGGATATTTACTACCCGAAACGCTATAAGGGCAAAGATCGTATACACTCACACAAACCACTTGAAGGTTTTCGAGTGTCGACAGTATTGGAGAGACTGGTGGGTCTTCCTAATGAAAACAAAGAGCAAAACACCCGAACTACATAGAAAATTTGATCTTCCTCTTGATAAAATAGGATTATCAAGAAGATGCTATGTTATTTTTTAATCCTATTCTTTCAGCTGGGAAAAATTCAAACGTCAATGGGCTAAATGATATTTGTAAATAAACTTTGGTCAGAGAAAGGAATAGCGTAACAGTTCTAGTACGTAATCCTGATAGTGCTTGAGTAGTGATCAATTCCTTAGTTAAATTAGGTTAACCTTCAAGTACAAGATGCGTTTGATATCGAAGAAAAAAAAGTAAAGGCATTTAACTGAGAAAAATCAAACTGTGAACGAAACACTTCATTTACCTTTAAAGTAAATTAGAACTTGCTAAGTCGTGGAACTTAACCGAAGTATCTCTAGGCTTCGTGCTCCTATGTTGGAAGATCTATTCCGCAAACCCGATTACCAAAATAACTTCGAAAATACTGTATTTAAAAACATACTTTGCCTTTCGTGCGTGTGATGCGCTTAGCGATATCTATTTGAAAGACTTTGACCAGATAAGCAAGTAAAAAAAAGTCGGCTGTCTCGCGAATCCTTTAATTGTTCCGCCGAAAAATGCTACATTTCTACCCCTAATAACAACTTTTGTTCTAACATCTTGCTGATATCGTTGACGTTTAGATGATACCAAAAAAAGAGGCGGCTTTAGGTTCAGGCAGACGCTTCGAGGTTTTCGGTGATGATAAATATAGATAATTCCATTTCAGAGTTAACAGATCAATTTGATAAAATGACATTTTCCATCATTGCTCGTTTTAACTGGACTTAGTTTTAATAAATTTACCTGAAATTTCAATTACAGGCAAGATCAAATTCTCTTTTACACGTTCCCAGCTTCTCGGTCCAAGCAGCAGATACAAAAATGTGTCTCCCGAGGCAACATCCGCTAAGTAAGATTTTTCCATAGAATCACGTTTCGCTATACAACTAATATAGGCTTTCCATGGACCTATTTGACAAAGTCCCTTTTACACTAATCTTTATTGCACCTACACGAATATTTGCGTTTAGTTTTTACTATCATTGTTGTTTCCATATAAGTTGTTTACTCAGCCCGTAACAGCGACTAGGGTGTGGAATCATATATGTGTGTGTGTGTGTGTACGTAAAAAATTGCTCACACAATTGGAGTATAAAAGGTGAACTATATATATATATATATATATGAATAGCAAGCTTCGTATACAGTAAGTGAGGTTAATTTGCCGTTACGACAGGAATTTCGAGTTCTCATGACAAGTAGGACACGCTTCGTTCTGAAATGAAATAGAGTAATGACGACAGGAACGGATTAAAGGAAAATAACCATGGACTCGATCCATAAAAGCTTTTGTACTCCACACAAAGTACTCAACAGACGGTGAGGTATATTTAGCTGTAGCTTATAGCTGTAGATAGGCGAACGTTTCCATTCGATCACGTAATCGTTACAACACCGTCCCTATTAAAACGACCAACCGAGGGAGAGTAATTTAGATGGACAAATAACGAGACTGTAACGCTGGTTATAGATATACGATGTGGTTTGGCTCGGTGTACCGTTCTGTACTTTAAAGCACAATAGGATAGAGCAGAAATCGAAAATAAAGGGCATACGGCAGATTTCCACTCTAGACAAAATCGTCTTCCCTTCTACACCGTATGTACCTGTTGGAAAACTCAGTTTGGTAATCAACTGCAGCCTCGTGGCTGGCGACTGGCTTAAAGTTTGATTAGGAAAAACGAAATACGTTAACACAGAGACTGTCTTTTGACTATATAATATAAGCAATGTAGAAAAATTATAATAATCGATAACATTCAATCACAGTCGCATATTCCTTTATTTGTTGTATGTCAATAAAACAATAAAATTTAAGGCTATAAAATATTTGATAACAGTTACCATAACCGAGGAATTGCACATTTCGCATATTGCATAGCGTGCTTGCGCCATTTCCTATGTGACACGTAAGGACCCCCCATCATGCACCTTGCTATATTTGTATGTAGCGGG